ATCAGCTTCTATTTGATACTCTGTGACATCAGCCATCCGGGGCTGTGTGCAGTGCATGGCGCCTAGCCCATCTCACTTTATACTGTGCAGTTAATTGGTTACTCGATCTTGGTTTGCTGGTACTCAGAGGCTGATCATCAAATACTCATCCGGTTATCCGATCTGAGCCATCTGAGATTGAAGTCGATCACCTCATCCCTCTGGATATCGCATGGCCAGACTGAGGGAAGTGTTATGTTATGTGAGCACTAGATTTTGTTACCGTTTCGATTGGTTCTTTGTAGTCCTGCATATGTTCAAAAAAGGGGGAAAATGGCAAGTCAGCGACTGATTGTTAACAAAAAGTCTAGTTTTGAGCGCCAATTCATACTATTTCACGTTTTCTCCTGGAAAAGCGATGCGTTTAATTCTCACTTTCACTCTTAGCACAGAAGCGATATAGGACGTAGTCAAATCTTGCTTTTTAGGCAACCACATCTCGCCTGAGGGACGAAGCATAAATTAAGTTTTGACTGGGTTAGAGTGTCAACTTGAGACAGTCCTGTCTTCATCGCATTATATAAGTTGGGTGGGATAATTGGTGCAGATATTACCTCACGAGTGTTGAGTAATCGCGGTCACGCGCTGATACCAGTGTTCGACGGCGGCTGGGGGTGTGTTGAGCATGCCACCCGATTGGTTTTCTCGGTGTGCGACGTTTTCCGAGGCAGATGATAGGTTGAAGGGTAAAGGCAGTGGCTTGTGGGTTTAAAAGCCCCCAATAAGGCTCTCGATCACATAGGTACCAATCAGTAGTTAGGGCCACTGGGTGATATGACCGAGTATCGTAAACAATGGCAGTCGTGCATCTCCTCACTTTTTGTGCAGATCTTGTCCACCTACTTTCAGTTATTTTGATTACGCTTCCGGCTTTAACTTCTCCTTCAGTGATCGACAAAATAGGTATAAGCTAGACAACAGCCGGGGGCGTCGCACGAAAGTGCAAGTTCAATTCTCGTGAAAAAGTAAAAGTGCTTCTTGCTGTCGGTTCCGCAATGTACTAGAAAGTCTAACAAGACCGAGGTTTACCTGCCCTCGCTGCAAGCTATAAGCTAAACTCTCAACCTCAGTACGGCAAACGATGTCCGTGAGCATCGTACACTGAAAAAGTCCAGTGCGTAACACGTGCCGTATTTACTGTACAGTCTGGAGGTTACCCATTTGAGTGAGTGTCAAATTGTAATCATACAGTAGTATACTCCTTCATCCAGTGGCACCATCAGGTTAGTACATTATGCTACAAAAAACTGCGTTCGAACATTAATAGTCCCGGTTTGTCGGTTATACATAACGGTCATGCCCCTGCGACATTCTGGAGCACACGTTATTTTCCATGGACAGTGGGATATCGCTATAGACGTTCGTGTACATCGGACGTCTGTACGTGTGTTGAAACTTCATCCGAGATTTTTCCACCGGTAGAAATGCTGTGGTAGTCTACCTAGCTCAATTTATCAGTTGGTGATTTCTCATTTAAACAGTTTTAAACTAGTCCTACCACATTCGGCACCTCGAGGACGAAAGATATCAGCAAAACAGCTACATTGCAATTCAACTTTTCAGAACAGAGTACTTAAAATTTCATAAATCACTGTAGAGATCCGACAGTTTCCTGCCTCAGAGTTAATCGACGGTAAGCTTTATCCAATCTCTGCATGGATTAACACCAACTGCATATCCCAGGTCTATTATATATATATATATATATATTTCACACACGTCTGATGCCAGACTGTGTCAAACAAATCATAGTACAATAATCTTTATAAAAAGAAAAACGCCCCACTATTTGCTAGTGAGACGAATACTGCCAGATTGCCCAGGCCAACGCAGGTGAATTTTCTTGGAGAGTTCACAACCGGAGCCTTCGGCTAACCAAAGCCTGACCCACAAGGCAGCGGGGCGGTATGCGAAAACGGCAATCCACTGGGAACCGGTGTCCAGTTCATCGGATCATTCGCCTTTCGGACAGGGTCAAACGTCCAAAGTGCCCAATCGAGCCGGTGACCAAAACCACAACCGAAAAGGTGTGGTTCCTACGCCTCCTCTTGGTTGGTTTGGAATCAGGGTTTTTAGCCAACCCCTCTAGGTGAACTGCCAGTGGTTCACCAACCCGACTGTAGTCCCGGATGTCGGCTTTTCGTTCTCTCACTTTGATGTTAAAACACCTCCGCCACGAGAAGGCAGTAAGTAGGGCTTCCTCAGCAGAGGCCATTTGAGACGCTCGGTCATATAGGAGCATTTTGCAAGGTGCAAAGGTAGGATGACCAGCCGCAACCCTAGACACCCACCCCCGACCCTACTGAGGATTTCGGAGGTCTGGGCAGGCATCTTCAGAATGCTGACCGAAACTGTCCGACACAACACATTATTAGATAACTTGTTGCTCGCCTAGTGTAATTATGCATGGACATTCATGTTTTCTGTTTTCCTGTCAGCGATTTGAGCTCCATCGGCAATTGAAGTCCATTCAGTTCTCAAAAAAAACGAACCATACGCTGTTCGGGCAAGGTTCCTAGTTGCTTCTGTTTAAATGGTGTATCACTATGAGCACTGTAAATTGGAAAGTTGTTTCTTTTCGGTGGAATCCACAATGCCCTTCATGATAAGCAGTTTTTGGTTTCTTCACTCCCTGCTGTTTTCCTTGTTGCATACCTGATAAAGTTGTACTTGATGAATGACGACCTTTATTTTTATAATTTTTCCATAGACCGAGAAAGAACAAGAGGCCGTGCCATTCATACCGTTCGCTGGTACTGGGCACCAATTGAGGGCAAAAGATGACTCAAGAGCCTAGCGGCGCAAATAAGCTAACCGTATTTCCCCAGACGCACCTAAACACACAGAGCTTTCAGTTTATTGCACATTCTGTAAAGCGACAGTGTTAAACATTTTTCTCATTTATGATATTTCTCGCTTTTATTGCTACAGGGACGATTTTCCCCTCGGTTGACAGTTTACAAATACAGAACTATGCGTCATTTCTGATTTTTGGTGCCCATACTGATGTTTATGTAACTACACTTACAACAGGAGCCCAGTTTCGTATAGTACGAACAACACGCTCAAATCCGAACTAAGGTTTGACTTCCCTTAAGTAAACTACCTTCTACTGTTTGCTATGACAGATGTGTGGTTGAAATACTCTATTCACTAAGAGTTTCAGACGTTCGTTCCCAAAGACAAAAGCATACAATCTTTGATGATAACGAAATCCCACAGTACAGTAAATAGCCCTGAACACATGCAAGAATGTTAGGGTGTTAGCGGGTGAATGCAATCTGTTCTTCCCTGAGTATAAATTAATGATCTTGCTGTTAGGAACACAACTTCAAATAAACCGATATTTCGATAATGTCCAACGTTTACATCCTTCCGCGCACACCGTTGTTTCTTGATATAAATGCAAATAATCGCAAATGTTGACTCCGCTTCGGAAATCTGTTGGAGGTAAGGTCTTAGTGACAGTAGGCAGGATAAAGTTCTGTGGGTTATGTCCGTGCAATTATCTTTGTAATTCCATTATAATCGCTACATTTGGCTATCGATGCCTTGAGAGAAGCTGTTGAAATCAGTTGTAACCCATGCCTACAAAAATAGGTGTGGAATTGACCTGTTGTGAAGGCTTCACATTGACACAAATACCTTGTTGCAAACAAACTTTTATTTGACAAAAAAATGCAAAATCAAATAACTGAATAGTTGTAAAAAAGCAAATCTGGGAATGCACCGGGACAGTTCCATTTAGGGTTTGACAGCGTGGGAGAACTCACGTGTCTTTGGCACCATCGACCTATAAAAAATCCAAAAAAGAAACGGGACTGAAAACATGCACAGAACATATCAAAGTTTTTATGGCACAGGTATGTGTATGCATGATCATGTAGTATGTGCTACGGTTGTCATGACTACCCTGAGGTTTCAGCAGTCGCAATCATACGAATATTCTCCGAAATTCCGGCCACCTAGAATGCTAAGGATGATGGTGCATCCACATCGACAATGGGCGTTGGAGAAGAAAACCAGTTGACAATGTGCTAAGGTGGTATGTTATCCATTTTTAGGGTGTCAACATTGGCACTACCTAAGTTAAGACCTTTGTTTCCCTAGTGAACTTGGACAGGGGACAGAAAGCATCAATATATACTGCTTAATGGCTCCCTATAACGGGGACTGATGGTTACATAGCGAAGTCTGCATTGGCACAAACCGTACAAAGGAACTCTGTCTACTACAGACGAAGTTCATCGTAGGTTACTACCTCCTTAGATTATTACACTGGGACACAGCTGGAAGCGATGTACCTAAGTTGAGCTTAGGCATCGGAAGTGGATTACGTTTTCCAGTGATTCGAAACCACCAGTATGTAGATCGCAACCAAATTTCAAGGATGACAGTATTAGTTCTGAACATATGACGGTAAACGATAAGAATAATTATTATTGTCGAATAGCTATGAACCCACAGAGAACATACTACTTTAGATTGTGAGTGGTGGACGTGATAGCACGCAGCTGTTCAAATAAGGTACCAGAGAATGACTGCGAAGCACGATTAGACCAGAGTATTGCCTTCCCGAATGATATGACCACAAAACTCAGTTAATATGCTAACGGTTCTGAAGACGGGCACCGATGACTTGTCGGTCGTTTATTCCACGGTAAGATACGATATAACTTCCAAAGTGGCGTTCATCAAAATAACTGCCATGTTGCATATCAGTAATCAAAATCTAAGAGGTGGTGGAATTCGATTGTTTGGAGGTATGGTTCTACTTGCAAAATAGTTTGGATCGCAACGGCCCATGGAAGAAGTAAACAAAGCAAAGATTTGGTAAGATCGGAAGCTTTTTATGTCGGCTGAAACGAGAAATAAGCGGCTATCAAGGCGTAGTGCACGGACGTCACTGCCCACAACCACATATACCCTCAAGAATCTTTGCTGTCACAAGTCCCAACTAATCAAACGGAATCAAAACATGAGGCACCAGTGTAGTCTGAATTATCACGGAAAAGTCGACAAGCTTCCAAATCACGTACCGAGCCCGCATCCAAATGCGTCTTCACGTGACTTTGTAATTTGTCCTTTCGGCTATAAGCTTTGTGACAACCGTCATACGGGCAGACAAAGTCCCGACGACCTGTGTGTCGTGTGAGATGACTGTTCAGATTTTTCCGTCGACCAAATGTACAGTCACAATACGGGCAGGGGAAAACCTGATCCGTGTGTACTTGACGAATGTGTCGTCGAAGTTGTTCGAATGTTCTATAAGCTCGCTCCACGTGCACACTGGCGCACAACTCGCATGGATAGCGTTTGTCTGTTGGACGGCGGTGCTTAACATGGTGCGCACTCCATGCGCGTCGTGTAGAAAATCGTTCGCCACAGACCTGCAGATGGTATTGAGACGAAAATCACAGGTTCAGAAAAGCAAATATTGTCGGAGAAGTGCGTCTTGCTGCTGTATTTAAATGTCCAATACTAATTGTGATTCGGAAACAAGTTTTACTGTCGAATACCTTAGTCAGATTTAATAATAGGTATGATCAGACGGAATTTCTACCTCGGTCAAACAAGGAAACAAAGAGATTTCACTTTTTTGCAGGATACCATCCTTGAATGTATTATTTGCTAGGTCGGGTTCTCTATCTAATATAAAAGGCATACATCGATGAACGTATATAACGCATTCCGTACGACTCTTAAAGCAGTTATAAACTGAAAAAGTACGTTACAATGGCACAACGCAAATAACTAACTGCCATTGTGTCCCACTTCGAAACCTGTTGCTTGATGACTCTATACAGAACTGCCGAAAAAAAGACTAAAACGCAGGATGGCTTGCCCTGTCGAGCACGATCGAAAGAGCAATAACACTACACCGCTTATGTTATCCCCTACTGAGACCCATAAACATGGAATTTCATTTGTGCTGACGCGCGTCGCGGAAAGATCGCGCGTATGATCTACCATTAGTTGAGTTCAGAGGATGTCTCCAACTTGTGTCTACATTAGTTGTTCTCTTTGTTAGCAACACAGTGCTGCTCACCTTGTCAATAAAATCTCCGAAATAACTCTAACTTGTAAGCACTCTATCAAGGTCAAATAGTCGCTTGACAGTTTCTTGAATCATTAATGTGTATTTTAAGATTACGTGACTGACTCACTTCACTGCAAACAACGTGTTGAATTGTCGAGGTAACCTAAATTTTCCTGAGAATCGACGGGGAATGGATCTGGACCAATAACCACTGTGGAAAATTGCCAGTATTTTCTCGATGTTGCTAGATTGGTGGAATCCATGATAAAGGACAATAGTTTCCACTAGGGGAAAATTTAGGCTGCGTGCAACCCGATGAACCTCGTACGCATCTCGATTTTTTTACGCACTCTTCTGGCGCTTCTAAATGAACGCTCGCATCGGGAAACGTCTCGTAGGACAGGATTCGATGATAGACTGGCAGACACAACAGATAATAAAATCGAAGATCTGTGCCGTTTGTTTCATGTCACTTGATAACCGAAATATAAGTTAAACATCGTACAATGGGGTGGAAAATTTTATAGATTACGTTTGATTTCTAATCTGAGCCGTTGTGATTTTGGACGGTGCCGTATGACAAATATTGCATACTGTATATATATATATATATATATATATATATATATACCATACCGTCAAATAGAACAAATATAGCGGTAAGGAGTTTATCAGTAAAATAGTAACTGCGGTAAGGAGAGATAAGAAATCTTCACGGTAATCCAGATTAGGAAGACTGTGGCGGTCGAGGGCAGTCTGACAGGAAAACTATATTGTACTCCGAAAACAGCGTTTTGCACACGATCAAGTCACATAAGAATCAGCTATGTATTTCCGCGTCAAGGGTTTAGTCTCTCACAGGTCCATTACGAGCTCGAGCATACATAATAAACTGGATGATATAGCAATAAGAAACAGAACAGCAGATGAGAAAACAAACAAAAAAGGAGAACAATTTATTGTGTGCTAACAACCCATTTCAGTTCCTGCCCCTCGGTGACCCACGTTAGCGGCAACCGAGTAATTTCACACAACCGAATTGGTCGGCTGTTGATCAAGGTTTTCGGATCTCTTTGTCAAACGCTTGGTTCGATTTAATTTACTGCTGATCATGCTGCGCGTATGACTACCTCAGGCTCCGGTGGGGTAACGCATGTTCACGATCCCTGCTGGATTCGAAATGCCAGTCACGCGCTGTAGATATCACGTGCACGTGACTATTAGACGTGTAGCAGTAAGACAATTTTTGCTTTAATTACATGATTTCGCCCCCCACACTGGAATGTGTTTTGTTTTTACGTGTCTCACATCAATAAAATTGACCCACATGAGCGGGTAGAAGAAATCCGTCACCTGGTAGTTTTTGACAATCGGTGCTTACGTAGTCTAGCCCAGGTGGGATGGAGCGAGCGGGTTAGTAATCTAGAAGTAAGTCGTCGGATCTTTGGGAATACCTCAAACAAGAAATCGCTATCGCATCGAATCCAGCTCAATTGGCTCGTTGGTTAGGACATATATTGCGTGTGTCTGACGGTCGCCTACCGCAGCGCGCTTTATTCGCAGTGGCTGTTGCAGGCTGGAGTAAGCCACGTGGAGGCCAGCAGATGACGTGGAAACGAGGCATGAAGAAATGCACACAGTGATTAGGTAGACTAGGTGAATATCGTTTTCCGGGTTGGGGTAAAAAAAGACTCCG